GTATGGGGTCCCTCAGAGAGTTTTGCACAGTCCCAGATCAGTAGGGGAGGTGAGTCTAGAGCATGCGTGCGTGCATGTATGTGTGTGTGTGCTATGTGTGTGCTATGTGTGTGGTGTGTGTGTGGTGTGTGCGTGTGTGTGTGTTACCCTGCTAACAGAGTCAGACTTGGAGGAATCCCATTGTGGATAATGAAGATGAAAATCACATAAACTAAGTACAGGGTCCAGTGGTACCACATGCAGCTTAGAGAATGCCAGCATGGACGGATAACCCAGAGGCACACTCTGGGCACCATGAGGGCAATTTTGAAAAAGCAGCTCAGCCTCAATTCAATAGCAATCTGGCCTTCACGCACAATTCTCTCTGCTCTGCCCTTGATCCCCAAAAGAAGGATCTGATTGGGTAGTTTATGTGTCATTTAGATATGGCGTACACTGCTTAGGTCAGGACAGTTCTCATCACCCTAAAGGTGGCCAACCTCACTGATGGCCAACTTGTATTTCATTGCCTAATAGAATAAGCTAGAGCTCCTGATTCAATCTACTGTGTGAGACCAATGATCTACTGCCACATTAAAAAAAAAAAACCCGCCCCAAAGCGGTTTTTTGCCTCTGATTCTGGGGCTACAACAGCAGAATGGCCCATCTGATCCTAGTCCAAATCACTTACCCACAGGATGGTGAGTACAGCAGCATCCCATTTCTTGGTACCAAGGATTTAGTTGCTTCAGGCTGCCATAACAAAATAACACTGAATAGATGGTTAAACCAACAGAAATTTATTTCTCTCAGTTCTGGAGGCTGGAAAATCCAAGTTCAAGGTGCTCACAGGTTTGGTGTCTGGTGAGACCCACTTCTTGGTTCACTGTCAACTTCCACATGGTGGAGAGACAGGGGAGCACTCATGGGTGCTCACCCTCATGACCTAACCACCTGAGAGAGACCCACCATCACGCTGGGGCTTAACACCATCACGTTGGGGCTTAGGTTTCAACATATGAGTTTTGGGAGGATGCAAATAGTCGGGTCTACAGCAATTGTCTTCAGATTTAAGAACCAATTCTGAGAGAGGAAAGGACTTGAAAGGCCCTGGGCTACCCACGATAAGCCATTGTTTACCCAGAATTTTGTGCCAGGGTATAGGTCTGTCTGAGCTATGAGAAACATTAAGGACCATAAAAAAGTCTTGTCCCCTGAATCTGCTTCAGAAAATATGTGAGGTGATATATAAGAACATTAGACACCTAGGGAGGAATCTTGCGGTAAGATACCAGCCTCTATCTGCAGGGTTTCTGAGGCTCTATCAGAGTTGGAAATGGCTACTGGGTATCTCACATCTCATCCTGATGAATGCCACACTTCCCCTCTCCACTCCATAGCGTGTTGTTTAGTTGATCTTGATCCTGAGAGTGTTCCAGAGTGTTCCTTCTCTTCCACAGTAGTAGGGAAGGCCAAGTTTTGACCACTGGAAATGTTTCTGGATGTATGTAACACTAGAGCAATGTCTATTGGTCATTTCTCAGGGAAATGCCCATGAAATAAATGAGTCAAAATACTGAAAATGATGCAGTGTGGTTGCATCAGCTATTTTTTCATTATAGAAGCCAGGTCTGAACAACTGGAATTTCAATTCTGTAGTTTCCAATAAATGGCTGTGAACATTCAAATCTGTGTCTTAATTATCTGATTTTTGCTAGGAAAGGGAGAAGATGGATAATTCTGCGGGATTTCAAAATCAAATGAAGAACGTGGTGTGAGTACAGAGTTTCAGGACTCTGGATACAACAAATGGGCCAGCACATGGCAGTATTACTCAACAACTAAAATAATGGCCAGGAAGGGACTCTCATTACTCATTTTCTTCTTCTCCTTCTAAGTGTGATTCTATACATTGCAGGGTTATTATATCACTCTTCCTATGAACCTTTGGCCTAGTGACTTATCCCTTGAGACATGCTATAATCACTGAGAAATGTGCTCCCTGTCACATCTTATTGCTTAATTATGGCTCAATTTAGACTCCAGAGTCATTTGGCTCTTATCCATATTAAATTATCTTTGAGTTCACACCAGTCTGGACCATTTCTATCTTGTTTTGGCTTGGGCAGTAATTATTGTCACTTGGTTCAGCAATACCTCAGTTATTGGAATCAGTTCTTATATTTATGCTTTTGTCCATATGATGGTATCAACACTTTTTTTTCCTAAAGATTTTTTATTTATTTATAAAAGACCTGGGGTACAGGCCAGAGGCACGAGAGGGTGAGAGGATTCACCAGAGACAGAGCAGGGAGCAGAATGGGCAGATGGACTGAAAGCACTGCCTAGGGGAGCAGTGGGTGAGACAGGAGAGGTCTTCCTCACCATGTGGGAAACTCCCTGGCTGGCTGGGAATTGAATCTGCACTGCAGAGGCTGCGGAGAGCTTCACAGCATTGTGCTCAACATGCTGCGCCACCAGGGAGTCCTGATAGTATCAACCCTTTGTCAGAAAGTCATGTGCTTAATTTTTCCAACTTATTTTCTTTCCTAGTAAATTCCAGTGGGTCCTTTATTTTATATGTGTGACATACAAACACCTTCCATCTTTCTAATTTACTCTTGCTTGGTGGTGACAATTTCATTCAAAATCTGCATATAATGTCTCACTGAGGTTTCTTTTATTTCCTTGTGCATGTGTTGCGCCCCAGTGCTAAACACAAACTGAAAAAAAAATGGCAGGCCCTACATACATTAACAGATTGTAGAACAAGTGAGTGGAATACATAAAGTTTGTGGTTTTTTGAAAAACTAGGACTTCTAGAGGATGCATCCTTGTTGTGTTCTAACCATTTATCTCCCTTAAATAAGCTATTATTGTTCTTTATTAACCCCTGTTTGATGAGTGAAGTCTTACGCCTTCAAATAGACTATAAGCTTCTTAAGGACAAAACATAGATCATATGCTTCTTGTAGAGCCCTGGTTATATCTGTAGCCATAGTTATTTGATCAACTGTATAAATACAGGATATCATACTTTTAAGACAGCTGTTTGAGATTAGGAACTTGCAAAAGTAGCCTGATATTAAGAGAAAGGCAGAGTGAAGAATAGTGTCCTTCTTCATTCCTCCAGAGGGTAGTTCAAGTCAGGCCTGGGGTAGATCTATGTTGAGGAGAGGTATAATTACCGTGGTCCAGAATGGCCCCAGGTCTTGTCTGGCAGACTGAGTTATATCTATCAGGACTTCCTAAAATGCTGACTTGGCTCCTTAGAAATACAAAACCCCAAACATCATTTATAAAGGTCACTGGCAATGGCCTGGGTCAGAATAACTCGAGTCCGTTTTGTGCCAGTGGCTCGGAAGAGGAAATCTGAGTACTTAGATAAAGCTCCTTGAGAATACCATGTTGCTAAATCCAAACAAAGAGTGAGAGAGGTTTATAGTCGAGTTTTACTCTATAATTCAAATGCCAATCCAGCAACGAAATATGTTCTAGGAATTCCAATCAGAAGTTTTTATCATGACTTGGAAACCAGCTGTGCTCTCAGTAAGTACAAAGTCTTACCACCTCAAATTGCTGTAATTCAGGAGAATTATGCAGATGTGAAAAACTTGAAAAAAATTCCTACGTATTTTAAATGCAGTGGGAACCAGGCTGTAAGAAATTCTATTTCTCCGAAATCTTTTAAAAATTGTTCCAATTTAAAGTTATAGGGAATCCAGGTAGATGAACTCTTAAAATTCAGGAACTCAAGTTCCCATGTAGGCTATTTTAAGATAGTAAGTGAAAATTAGAATTCTGTACACAAACTTTTAAATAAACAAGTGAGATAACACAAAGTAGTTAACTCCTCAATTACAAATCACATCATTACGAGCTAGGATAATCTTATGCTCTAGCTAGCTAAAATGGGACAGAAGCTTAACATCAGAGACAGTGCTACCAAATAAACTGATTAACACAATTAACTCATTGTAGTCATTGTGAACCAATAATTTCCTTTATAGAAACTAACAATTATTGTGGATTTGTGAATATATATATCAAAGGTCTTTTGAATATATTTTATGATTTTAAAAGATAGCAGGGAGAAACCAGTGCATATGGTCCTCATACCAACGTACCCCCACTTCTCATTTGTTTGCTCTTGCTCCTCTCACACATGGGATACAGCTGCCTTGTACAAAACTGATGCAATGTTAACTTATCACTTATATCATCACCTAAGCACTCAGATACCACCCTGGGACAGTCAAGCAAGGTAAGCTTTTCAAAGTAGGGGTTTCAGTGATCTTTTATAGACATATTTGAAAGCATTTCACATGCACAAACACAATCCCTGAATGGGGTATAAAGCAAAATTTTCAAGTGGAGGGATGCAGTGAACTTCATGGCCTGATATATGTAAGTGATACATCAGGAGTTTAGAACTGCAGCTTTACTAGTGCTCTGAGTTCACAAATCAGCCAGTTGGCCAATATGCTAGTAGTGAAATGTCTGGCTCTCAAATTTCTTATCCATAAAATAAGATGATTATATCAGATCTCCTGAGGTCCCATCCAATTCATTTACTTTATGTTTCTCATTTCTCCAAATACCTCGTCAGTATCTGAAGTACTTAGACTGAGTATTAGATTGTATCTACCTGTATTTAACCAACATTACAGAATCTCATTTATTGAATTTTTCTTAGCAGAGACTCATGAGACAGTAGATAACTGTATCTATCTCATGGAGACATAGGATGCATTACTGCCACATATAGCTTAAAAATACTTCTTACCTGTTTGAAACATTTTCTGAAAACACTGTATCATATTTGCATCTGATGTGTTCATTTCTTAGAAAAATCAGCAGCTTTTAACTTTTATGTATATCAGTCATAAAGAAAAATACAATGTATCAATCTTTAGAGAAGTCAGTAATGGGAGGCTATAATTTCAACTCAAATAATATAAAAATGCAAAGCTCATCCACATTACTAGGAAATAATACCTTTAGACAAACTCACAATATTAAATTTGTCCTTATCTTCTTTTATAATTTTTTTTTAAGATTTAAAATGCAATATTTGTACTTTTTGGAATTTTTGCTAGATCATAATTTAATGTGATACAGATTTTATGACAAACTAATATTTATTTACACATTCACATATAGCACAATGTAGTAGTAGTAGTGGTGATAGGAATTAACTAATAAAGTAACAAGAAAATCATCACTGTAGCCATTTAAATGCTTTGTAATGGGAAATATATACCTATTATATAAAACACGTATTTACAGATAACTTTAGAAGGAAAATAGATCAATTCTTTGGATAATCAAAAGTTGCAATAACATTTTCTGTATTTTTAGCCTTACTGTAGAAATGTTTTCATTGTCAATGTTCAATCAATGCACTGATTAAAGGGAAAAAAACAATAATCAATAATAAAATTACATACATGATATGTTTATGTAAACATGTTTGTATGTATATCAACTAACTCAGGTTGTGTAACACTCAGGTTGTCAACTAAAGCTATTTAAGAAGTTGTAGACAAAAGTAATGTTAGCTTAAGTTGTCTGGTTCTTTAAGCAAGTTGCAATTTCCAAGTTGTTTTTTGCAACTCAAGTAAGATCCAAATAGATAATGCAACCTTCTTCTTTTTTTGGTTCTAGTTGTTAATTTTGTGTCTCTTTACTGACTATGTAAGTTAGGACTCTCATTCCCAATACTTCTTCCAGGTATCAGTTTCCATTTTACTTTTCTATGTTCACCTGGTCTAAAAACACTGAGCCAAGTGTTTTCTTCCACCCTTTTCAGTCACTTGTTTTTACCCAGTAGTAAGGGTACACTTACTACAGCTCACCAAAACCAAGGTGAGCTACGCCCCACACATAAAATTATCCTAACTTGAGACTTTAGAATGGTCAAATACGTTAACATACACAGAGAAATTAATATGATTTTAAAGACCATTTATCAAAGGTCATGGCATAGTTTATAGAACAAAACACACTTCACTGAATAACAGTATCAGTTGGAAAGAAAACACACCAGTACTTCATGTGGTCAGAGCAGCTGAAATATCATTTACAGCAGTTTTAACTTCTTGATTTGGTTGGTTTGAATCAAGAAGGGGATTGCTATTGGAATTTTTACTCTGTTCATCTATCTTTGGGCAAGCAGTTTGTCCTGGATGCTTTTTGTTCTCTTTAGCAAATGTCACACTATCCCCAGAAGGCTGAAATGGCCTCTCTGAATGGACCAGCTGTCTCTTTGTTTCTGCTTCTTGTTCATGGAGCAACCTTTCCACCTCAACTTCAAGTTCCAAAGTCTCCTCATCGGCTTGTACGTCCAGTTGTTGCATCAATTCCTCCAACTTCTTGGCCTTGCGGAGTTCATTCTGCTGTATGATGGTGCAAAGGTGCTCAGTGAGTTGTTCTTTAATCTCTGTCTTGCGCTGTAGATCTAGCTTTGCTGTAACGTATTCTGCTTCAGCCTTGTCAAACCGCTTTCTGTAGGGGAAGGTAGAAAGATTGGTCCATAGGTTGCCATTGAGTTAGGTCTAGAAACAATAAGTAAAGCCCAAAATTGGGGAAGCAAATGTATAATGAAGATATGGATATTGCTACTTTAATGAACACTTGTCTACATGTTAAGACAAACTAGGCTAGTGCTGCTAAAAATTCTATAACATCTATATATGTGAACCTTCCTAATTTAATATCATTCCTCTGCATACATTTGATCTTTGGCTGTTCTTGAATAAAGGCACACTAAGCTAGCTATGATAGGGGAGGGCCCTAATTTGCAATGTTTGTGAGTTTTTGCAGAATAAACACTACTACCATGGTCAAGTTCAAGCTATCGATGTGACAGTTTGAATATAGAACTGAGAAGTTACATAAAAGCTGCCCTCATGATCTAATGCAAGCTTGCTCCAGCAAAAAACTAGTTAAATATGAGACATATATCAATGAGACAGTGACACTAGCAAATCTCTCTTTTTTAAAGATTTTTTAAAAGATTTATTTATGCATACAAGAGCTGGGGTACAGGCCAGAGGTGCGGGGTAGGGGGGTGGTGAGAGGATTCACCAGAGACAGAGTGGGGAGCAATACAGGAAGACTGACTGAAATACACTGCTGAGGGGAGCAGTGGGCAAGACAGGAGAGGTCTGCTGCACCATGTGGGTAGCTCCCTGGCTGGGGATTGAACTCGTGTTACAGTGGCTGCAGAAGCTTCATAGTGCTGAGACATAAACCCCTGTGCCACCAGCGAGGACCCAAATCTCTCTCTTAAACGATTGGAAAAGGAAGAAAAATGTTGGTGCAGAAGGACATGAACAATGGTTAGGAAGTAAATATATATGGGGCAGAGTACACCCGGCAAAATAAGACTGAACGAGAGCAAGAAGTAACCATCAAGTAGAACAGGAAACTTCAGGATAGGTTCAGAAAGAGTTCTCAAATTCAGCACTATTAATAATTTGGGCCACATAATTATTTGATGTGGGGAGCTATCTTGTCCATATAGGATGCTTAGCTGCATCATTGTTTATTACCCCCTACTAGCTGCCAGTCTCACGCCAAGTTGTGATAACCAAAATATTTCCAGATATTACCAAATGTCTCCTGGGAGAGAAAACTGCCCCCTCTTGAGAATCACTGAATTCGGTGTTTTCATCCCTTCTACTCTGTTAAAGACTATTGTTAGGCTTTTTCTAGGAAATTTTATATATTTACATACATACAGATATTTAAATCTCCATAGACAGGCAATGCCAGTCTTACATCAAGAGTAATTCTCTTGGGGAAGTCACCCTATGATCTCTTTTTTCATTTCTTTTGCATTAGATTGGTACAAAAAGAAAGTTAACATATATTGGTTTATTGTCTCTTGTCTCTTCCATGACTTGAAGCTTTTATTTTTGTTGATAAAAGAGGATGATTCCCACTTACCAACTAACTACTTAGTTTAATTACCACTAACAATTGCAGAGATCATGCTACCATACCTGTTATAACCACCTACATCAACTATACTAATTTCTGGTATTAGAGTTATGGTATAAAAGAAACAGTTATAGCCCCTAATGCAAAATTCTCTGTCTTGTAAGGAAATATAGTCAAAGACAACAGAATTTGATTTTAGATAATCTAGCATTCAAAATCTGCCTTTGTCACGATCCCTGTTTTGGTCAAGGCTTTTTTGGATGTAAAGGACAGATAACCAGCTAAACTAGCTCAATAAAAAGTGGCTTTTATTGTAGGATATAGGAGATAATCTCACAAGCATGTCATCAGAATCAAAGGCTATTCTCTTAAGTGCTTAGAGGTCACACAGTTTCTCTCATTTTGGTTTTCCTATCATTCCCACAGCCTCTTATGATGACCAGCTGTGGTTCTGTATCAGATTTACTCCACTCAGTCTCTCAGTGTTCCAATTCCAATACACTAGAGAGGGAGGATTTGGGTTGTCCTGACTCATACCAGCTTAATCAGAACTCTTAATGCCAGGTCATGCCATGAGCCCATTTAGCCTGTGGATTAGGTGTCCTTTAGTTGGTGGCCCGTGTCTTTTCCAATCAAGTGTGCCCATGGGTTAGCATCAGGATTATAAAATATGGCCTGGTTCCTGGGGAAGGGGCTGGAGAACAGGCATGCAATGTTTGAAAATTTAGCACTATGGCCCTGGATAGCTTCAACTGGTCTTGGTTTATATGTAGAATGATGATAATAATAATTCAAGGAGTATTAAGGACTACCGAGTATAAATCAGGCAAGTATGTAGTCGAGTGTCTGATAGGAACTCAGGAACTTATCCTTCAGGTGATCAGAATCATTAAGTATTGCTAGTACATCACTAAATAGGTATCTAAAATTGAAACAGTATCTAAAATGCAAAACACCTGATGTTTATATTTGAAAACTTATTTATGAATCATGTCTTTTTTTTATGGTCACCTAGTAAATATAAGAATGAGAACATAAGCTGTTTTCTAGTAAGCCCTTATGTTAAATAAGTGTTCCAAGAGAACACTGTTGGCTATCGGGATCCTTTATTTCCATACTTTATAATATGTCCTGTTTATGAATGTTCCTGCAACAAGCCAAAGAGCTATGACAATGTTCTCTACAGGTATATGAAATCCTGACCCTTTCCCCATTTTAACCTCCCTTCTCTGTAAGGCTGTGGTCTCCTTGAGTCAGTCAGGAAAGATTTACTGACTGGGCTCATGAATGCTGAACTGAAATTAAGATTTGCAATAGGTCTCTGGATTTCCTCTGATTTTTACTCTGAATAAATCACTCAAGATTTTGAATTTTGTTTATTTATTCAAAGTCCTTCTGGCCAGAAACGTGCATATATATTCTTGTACCGAGTGATTTATGTTTAAAAATTGATTAGTTTCACAAACTGCATGCCCGGTCTGGGGATCAGGAGGATAGTATCAAATAAGAGTACGATGACATACTTTGGAACAGAATAATGAGAGTATTATTTATGCATAACATAGTCAGGTAAATTGAACTGGTAATGTAATTATAGCATTCTTTTGTTATTTTACAGAGACACTGAATTGATTTAGTGAATGCTATTTAAAGGATTCAAGAAACTGCCCTTTAGTTTTGGTATCCCGAAATTTTTAAAAAATTCAACCATTAATCTGTGGCATACTATTAAGTCCCACTAATTCACTTTTAGGTTTGCAGAGTCTTTGCTGAGCAGTTCTAACTATTTGTAAGGATTAACATAGCATGATTTAGATCTTTTCTTAGAATTTTTCCAAAGCATAAAGAGAATTATTATATATTTCAGAATAAAAAAAGACTAACTCTACTTTGCAATATGGGTCCAATGATTGTTTTATAAATCTAAGATACTTACGGGAATGTTGAGATATTATTTTTCCCTATGCAGGTTTCTCCTACTATCCAACAGTAGAACATCATTATGAAATACTTGGTAATCTCAAATGGCATAAAGTGAAAAGTAATTACCATTAATTTATATGGAAAATTTTTTTAGTGTTTCAAGACCCTTAGCCCTTTGCACTCCGAACCATTCTGGGCATTGGCTACCAGGTACTCGACGCTACTTTGCGGCGGAAACGTGCATTTACAGACCCTCGTATTATTTAGTATAATTTTGGAACCAAGTAACGTATTATAATGATATTGGACTTATATGAATTGGGTGACATCGAGGAATGTATAGTTGCAAAAAAACCAATATTTTATTGTTTATAATTTTGTACAGTATGATAAGTTTTGTAACACTCCCCAATATGCATTGCAGGCTGATTAGTGCATGTTTGACATGTCTGTATAGAAGTCTATCTGGAGCTCATCTTCACTACTACTTGTGTCATGAGACTCATTCGTGGTTGGACGCTTTGCCATTGTTCTAATAAAAAATATGAATAAATGCATGGGTTGAAAATTTCTAATTGTTATCACTAACTGACAAGATGATATTTACCAAAATAGCTTTCACCAAACAATTTATTCACTAAGAATCACTTTTCCGATTTTCTCGTTAGATCTATGTGCACTGCTCAAAGCTTCAAACCAAAATGAGCTCAATTTTGAAAATCTTTTCCTCCAGATGTAGACTTGTTTATTTGTAATTATATATCTCACTATATAGTGCGTGCTACATTCGAAAACCGACCTTTCTTCTACAAACTCCCCTTATCGCTCTTTTCAAGTGGCGTCGCGAAGTGCTCGTACCGTCGTGAGCACGCATCTCACGTTCTCGTCCGACACAAAACCCGCTGACATTTCTTGTATGTAAGTAATTTTACGATATTTTGATTTAATTTCTTGTGCCATTTCAAGATAAAACTTCAGGGAAACATGCATGTCTCAAAAAGTTGCGTTGAAATTACTCAATTCCCCGTAATCACTAATAAATTGCAATGTCCCCTGAGAGGGGACATCCGAGTGATATGCTAGAATTCCGATGTCCCCTGAAAGGGGACAGCGGAGTGCAAAGGGTTAATAATAACCTGCCAAATCATACTAAATAACACACAAAACCTAAAATAACATGTAGTAAAAGCTATAATGATATGATAACTATACATCCTTCATAAAGCAGTTCCTGAGCAAGGGACCTGGTGGTGCCACACAATGATACTTTTGTTGCCCCTGTAACAGCTGCTGCAAAATAAACACTAAATTCTCAGTTTTTGCTTTTTACTATAAAAGTGAAAATCTTCTTAGCATTTCTTTCAATTGTAAAAACAGATACAGTGCAGGTCTTTCATAAAAGTGAAGTGGCATAATAGAACTTTCAAAAAGCAGGAATCCTTGTATCTTAAAACATCTTGTCATTTCATTACCCTAGGAATTACTTCCTTGTAACTCATCAATTATTCCCATTCAAACTAAAAGATTAATGATAAAACAGAGCATGATGACTTAAAAGGATGATGCTATAATGAAATCAAGCAATACTGCTTTTTTTACAGTGCTGTCCAAAGTATTACACCACCTTTCAAAAAAGATATGACAGACCAGAAACAACATATTTGTAGTATGTTCTCAACTTTCATTGAACAAAGATGAGTATTAGTAATGAACATTTTCTGTCCAGTGACAAAATAAAGAAAACTGACAGGTGCAGACATTTTGCATTTATCAGAAAAGCTAAAAAAAGAATATTGAGGTAGGCTAAAAACAACCTCCTGAAGATGTTCATTACCTACGCCTCAGAACCTATGACTATTAACTTATGGCAAAAGATATGATTAAGTTAAGCATTTTGAGAGGAGTTTATTCTGGATTATTCATTTGGGCCCTAAATATATCTATCTTTTAAGAAAGAGGCAGAGAAGTTTTGAGGAGAAGAGGAGGGAGCAACATGACTACTGAATGGTACAAACACAAGCCATGGAAAATCTTCTGCCATCAGAAGTTGGATGACACAAGGAAGGGATTCTTCCATAAACTCTCTAAAAAACAGTGACCACATCAGCATCTTGATGTTAGAGTTCTGGAGACCAGATATGAAAAAGAGTGACCCCGTCAACATCTTGATCACTTCTGGAGACCAGATATATAAGAATAAATTCCTGTTGTTTTAAGGCATACAGTGTGTACTAATTTGTTCTGGCAGCCTTGGAAAATCAGTACAAATGCAGAGACAATCTAGAATCTAAATAGAGAAACTGATCACATGAGTGACATCTCAGAGTATGCGAGCCAGAGAAATGTATCTTAAACTTTCTTAAACTAAAGAATCAATGTGTGAAAAAAATATTTTTGAGCATAAAGAGAAAACTATTTTCATAGTTAATAATTTCAACAGGAGGAGCACTGTATAAGTACCTAAACCATCCCAAGATGTTGAAACAATATAACCATACTCTCTTATTTTTTTATGCTTGGGGTCAGATATCACTTACATAAAGGTTTGCCATGCTCACATTCTTAACCTTTTTAATAATATTTTTCCACAATCCCTTTATTCTTACTTTATAAATTATTCACAAAATGACACAAAACTATTTATATATACATGTGGATACATGTATGTGTGTGTATATGTATGTATATGTGTGTGCATGGTGACAATTGTTTCTTTAGTATACTGAGGGTTAAAAATTGTCTTACATGCTGCCCCTCCTCCATTTTACAAGCTGGCCTCCCCTGCATATGGAACTTTGTAATCACAGCTGTGAACAGCAACAGCAGTAACAAGGACTCTCTCAAGTTGCCTCACTTAAGGTGTGGACCCCCTCAGAGGTGCCGACCCTGATGCTGCTCTATTGAAGCCAATTTTAAAGCAAATTCTGTCGTATTCAGTGTCCAAGACCTTTTCTGGACATATCACTGTAGAACTATTATTTTTATTTTTAAAAAATTAAGGAACTCTCCCACAGAGACGGACTGCTGCGTGTACTACTTTCCATGGAAATCTAGGTCATGACACTGTATCACTAACGTATAATTTCTCATCAACTACAGACATAAACAGAAAATATTTTTAAGCTTATGAACAAGAAACAACCCTAGTTCTAGTCACAACTGTCTATTTTCTCTTTGACATAAGAGCTCAGGTTTTGAAAAGTAGCCTTATATGTAGAAATGTTGACAGTCGCCTACAACTGTGCCATGAAGAATTGTCATCTTCAGCTTGTAAATGGATGCAAAACCTTTTAGTGTAAAAAGTGACAAAAATTTCATTACACGTACTTATAAATCTTCACCTTTAGTAATCTCCCCTTCTTGGTGGTTCTCTGAATACTAAAACTGACATTTATTATATAATATTCAACTGACAAAGGCATCTTTCTTCAGCCTCCTCTAGGACAAAATTAAAACAATATCAGATGATTTTTATGTTCAAGTAATCAGATTAATGTGAATTATTCATGTAAAAGGCTAAAGGTGTAAAAAATGTTCCTCTAGCAAATTTAACAGAAAATGTGATAAAAATCTAGGTTTAGCTTAATCTTGGTTACCTACTTAATTACCTTATTAACAGAAATCTGGAACCTCTAGCTATCAGCTACTGATGGCATTAATTTACGCAGTTAATTAATAAAGGCAACCCATTAAGTCTAATAGCATATGGTCAAACAACAATTACAAAACTCACAAGGACAACCACAAGCCTCTTTCTTAAATAATAAACAGAGAATTAAAAACCACAATCAAGCCATTTCCGCTTTATTAAATTGTTATATAAACATTCTGATGCTGTGGTTTACCCTGGACTAATGAGGCATTATGATTGATTTCTAGTGTTACAGAGAAAGATGCAAAACTGAATCATTAACACAGCATTCCCTTGTGAAAAAAAGACAAACCAGGATGATTAAAGCAATGTTGAAAGGACTGAAAACCCTGAAATTGGACTTAATTTTTTGCCCTTTTATCTGTTTGCAAAGTTCATGTAATTCTTTACATGTGTTAGTTCATTGTAAAAATACTCCATGATGATTTTTTCTACTAAAAAAATGCCAATGGTAGAAACCAAAGAAACACATGATGTAAAGCAACCACTTTACACTGAGTATAATCAAAAAGAAAAAATAAGAAAAAACTTCAAGGTTTCAAGACAGAGTGGCATTTTCTTTAAAATAAACATAGGCTTTAAAATAAACTACATCTACTTTTATGAAAATTGACATGGCTTCAATCCTATAAGACCTTCTTAGATGGACCAAATTCCTTGATGGAGAGAACTTAGATTTGGTGTCAGAATAATGTAGTTTTAGAGCAAGACATTCAGATATTTAGAGTCTCAAACCCTAAATAGTTGACAGTTTAGCAGGAAAGAGTAAAATGTAAATAAATATGCAAGAAATACTGTAACAGGCTTATAAGCAAGATTACAGGGTAGATTTAAAGGTAGACCTGATTTAGTATCAAACAGGAATAATTACAGCCCCTAGTGGGGTTGTTTTGACACTTAAATGATGCCATACCTAGGTTTCTGACCCACCTGACAATATACATTCATTAAATCCGACACCTTATTCAAGTCCCCAACTCACCGAGCATTTGAATAGTCCAGGCTGGCCTGATCAATACGGTTCCTAAGGATTCCAATGTCAGCTGACACCATGTCATCTAAAGCCTGTAACTCCTTCTGGATCCGCTTTAGTTTCATGGTCTCTGCCTGAGTTCTTTTAGATCTAGAAAATCAGGAACATGAGTGGAAAAATATAGCATTTTTAAACCATACAGCCATATACAATATAAGGGAGGGAAAAAAGCTACTGTATATACAACATGATTATAATGTACCCTTTTTTTAAAATGAGGGGGAAAATCAAAAAAATTGAAACAAAGCAAATGCTGGTAACATCTTGGTATATCTGTAAGACTGCATTTGAGCTTTCCCCCCTATTTTTCAAATTTCCCTGTTAGTACATATTATTTCATATGCAAGAGAAAAAATAAGATTTTTTTTTTTAAAACTACAGATGAATAATTCTCATAGGTCTACATTCATTCCACAATGACAAAAATAAGCACCAAAAGAGTATGTCTGTATTTTTTTTTACATTAGAACATCGAATACAGCTTTCTAAATTCAAGCTTAAGTCCATTTTCACCTGTTTGATACTTAGTAGATCCCAAGAACAGAGACCTACATTAAATAAACACCATTTCTTCATATGTCTGAAAACATGTATTTGGTTTTAACTCTCTCAGGGCTAATTTCCCAAACTTACTGTTTTGATTCCTATTGTTCAAGCAAAACTACAAATCCTCAAAATTCCTTCTGGGACTCAAAACCAAACACTCTTTTTTTCCCTGTTTAGAAGCATATCCAATCTCATTATCTCTCAGTTCCTTCACCAACCCTAAATATAATATACACTTAAGAAATAGAATAAACAAATATAAAAGCAAACCTTTAATCATGATTTCACTCATTTCAAAATTTCATGCACATTCTTGTGGGAAACTAAAACTCCCTCATAAAACCATTTTATTGCAACCTAAATTCTCCCGATTTTAACCTATAATTCATTTACACTTGTTTTCTGCCTACAAAAATAAACAGTATGATCCTTTTACTTTAAGTTCTTCATTGTCTATTTATTAATAATCCCATCAGGTTATATTTCCTTACATATCTGTCTTAAACACTACTTCCTGTCTTTTTGTAAATTTATTTATTTTTAACTGATGTAATATTGGAGTACCCCCATCAGGTAGTACCACCGCAGTACACCCAACACCAACTCTGAATGGGAGAAAATTTTTGCATACCATGTATCTGACAAAAGACTAATATCAAAGATACACAAAGAACTCATAAAATGCTACAAAAACCAACCAAATAGCCTAATCAAAAAATAGGCCAAAGAACTAAACAGATACCTCTCCAAAGACATTAAAATATCCAGTAGGCACACAAAAAAAGAGGCTCATAATCACTTATTATTAGAGAAATGCAAATCAAGACCACAGTGAGATACCATTTTACATGTGTGAGAACAGCCCATATCGAAAAGACCAGAAATAAGTGCTGGTGAAGAAGTGGAGTACAGGGAACCCTCCTTCACTGCTGCTGGGAATATAAACTGGTCCAGCCCCTATAGAAAGCAGTATGAAGGTGTTCCAAAACACTAAACATGGATCTGCCATTCGACCAGTAATTACACAATTAGGCATCTATCCCAAAAAATTCAAAACACTAAGTGGAAAGGAAACTTGTACTCCCATGTTTAGTGCTTCCGGTCTTAAATCAAAAGCACACAGAGAAGAACAAGCGCTGAGCTTATACATGCTTTTGTAAAATCTCCAATAAACAAGCCTCCCCAACCTCTTTTAAATTGAAAATAACTAAATGCTTTTCAAAAATCACATATGGGAAAAAAAGAAAGAGAGCACAGCTCTTTTAAATGTTGTTTTTCCCCGGAAACAGTTTAGATCAGTGTGCTGTATATTTCCTATATTTCAGAAAAGATAGAGGTGTGCCAGCAGGAAAGAAGATCACTTTCAAATATATATATATATATATATAAAATAGCTAAAATTCTGAATTACTTATACTCACTTGACTTCCTATCTATCCCTTCCCTTCCCCCGATATATATGCCAACTTTAATCATTAAGAGTTTTGTCACTTCTCTGGGGAACTAAAAAGAAAATGCCAATGAATACTTGTTTGCACTTAGGTCTCACTATTCTCAATCATTGTGATTGACCAAGCTTAGTTTCCTAAAACCATAGATTATAAACTACAAACTAAAAGGGAGGAAGGGGGACAGCAGGAAAGGTGGCTCAAATGAGAATGTTGCTGTTTGAAGCTAGTACATGCAGAAAAAGGGAGGGCTGACAAATTCATATGGGGGGCTAGAGAAAAACTGACTCATACACAATATGGGACAGTGCTCATAATGGAGAACTTGAGTCATTAATAAAAGTTTAAATTATAAAATGTAGCTTCTATCAGTCAGAAGAGGGCAAATGATTTAAGAGAAATGTCCACAGGAAACACAATTAAGATTTGTAGAAGCATTAAATAACTTAAGTGGAACAATCTTCTGTCAACTACATGTCAGATGATTAAGGCTTCTTAAAAGTTAAAATTAAAACCTACATTTGTTGCTAACTACTTATATTAACAGCTACTTACTGCTTCCAGTGAATGTGTAGATGGTTAAAACTGAAAACACTACATTGACCTTTAAGTTTTTCACTGCACCTGTATTCATAAATTCATTCTGAACCAGGCAAACTGGTCATCCTTAATACATTAACATTGAATTTCAGTATCATAACTTGTACAGTCTTAAAAGTAATAGTTGTAGACAGAATGTTAGTTTATTAGACAGACATGGGGAAATAAATATAAACCATGACAGAACTGAATGCAGGTTATAAACAACCTCTCCTGATTCAGAAGCCTCACCTTTCTGCAATAGCTTTAGCCAAAAGAGCTTTCTTACGTTTATTTTTCTCTTCCATTAGCCGCTGTTCTTGTTGGAGGACTTCCCAACGAGATTTTTCTTGCCTACGGAAAAAAAAACGTATAAAAGTGAGTTTATGAAACCCCATCCCACACCTTATATTCTCAGTCCCTGTAAGTATAAAATTTAATCAACCAGATTATGTATATTTTCTTTCAAAAGTCCTCTTAAAAGGAACCCATCTGCAGCTCATTATTTTGTTCTAATAGGAACAAAGACTATGATCCGAAGTAAAGAAGGCTTACATAAATTGGCCCTTTGAAATCCATTATATGTATATAATCTAGGAACCCACAAACTGGAAGCCAGTGTACTGTGGCATTTTTTTTTGGAGTACAAAGAACCTTGTGTAAGTTAATTATGTATTATATGCAAAATGGAGAACAAAATAAATTGGTCTGTAGCTAATGTCATGTTATAATTTTTAGAGTTTTCTATAATTAAAGTCTCTACCACATAACACCCTTAGGACAATAACCACTGTTTATTTCATTCATTTCCTTTTAATATGCTCACTTCTTTCCAGTTCTTAAACAGTTTTAAACAGAATAAAACACTGAGTTAAGACTCCAATGGTGAACTAAAGAAAAACTTTAAAGATCTAAAAGCACAATTGTCTTCCAATCTGTCAAATCTTGAAAGTACATTAAATTTTCTGTAAATTCACAAACTTATGCCAACTCAAATTAAAGGTAATTACAAACTATTTATGCTTGTCATTTCTTAGTGACTATATTAAAAAGCTCTATTTCCAGACCTAGTAACCACTTCTAAAATTAGCTTTTTCTCTCCATTTCTATAACCGCCACTTTACTGCTGGCATTGGTCCTTTCTCATTTTTACTACGGCAGGCATTTCTTCACTAGATGCCTTAGTTCCAGCTCACCTAGCACCCTATCCCAAATGATCTGCAATACTGCACTTGAACTTTCCTCTAGTCATTACTTTGATCAGAGCATCTCTCCTTCAGAGGCCCTTCCGTGTGGGTATAATGTGGCATCAGGAAATTACCCAGGCAGGTACTCTCTGCTTCCGAGTCCTTCTTTAATTCCTACTTCAACTCTATACTACTCTCTGGCTAATCCTTTGCCTATTCCAGAGCAGTGGAATGTCATCGCTGAGCATTCTCTAGAATACACCTTTTCTTTCCCCTTCTTATAACCTCAGAATTTCTCATATTCATTAACAGTTCCTGGGAATCATCTTCTATAAAAATTTTCCCATGTTAACTAAAGAATAATTTCCTATTGACATAAAATCTAAACTGCACAGCTCATTTTAAACCCAGCTTGCACTTGTCTCAGGCTTCTGCTGTTAAACTACACTCAAAGATATTTAGATGCATACATTTGTTTACTGTTGGACTCATAATTCATGTGGTTTTATATCTCTTATCAAAATAACTTCTTGGTTGTAAGTCCAACCCCGAGTGGGCAGGAAATACTTTAAACACATAACACAGAATCTGAATAAGCAGAGATTGGAAACATATCTAAAAGTAGAAGAAATATAAGATAGTGCAAAAAAGAAAGACTTAAGAAAATGGAAAAGAGAAACAAATGCCATCCTTTCTCATCTATCAGTGGTAAATCAGGACACAAATAAGAGTGCATATAAAAACAAGCTATAAAATAAAAAAAAACTCTTAAAAATTCACAAATCATACCGTGGTAATTTCCACAAGAATGTGGATAACCTAAATCCTAGAAGGGTTTTCTAATACAAACACACTAAATACAGAGTGAAAAGAAATCAAAAGACACAGATGAATTATGTAATAAGCCCCCTCAATTTCCTACACTCTTTCCTTTCACTTCTTCAGAAGTATCCTCTTCTGGGCCAAAAGAGATGAAGTCTGGAAACTGAAGAGAGATACTAGACATATAGGAACTGCTTCTGGGGAGTATAAAGGGCACAGACTTTGGATCCAGGCAGCCTTTTATGTGAACCCCAACTCAACTACTAACTATACATTAGTTTTAGGAAAATAATATCTTTCCTGACACTAAGAGATCTCATCTGTCAAGTGAAAATCATGAACATGCACTGTAATGCTTTGTGAACACTAAATGACATAAAGCAAGTAAAATTCCTAATGTAGCCTGGATTAACTTATTTAGACGGAAGCAGCTTTTCAACAGTTTACTCATCACATTTCTAGGTTAAAATATAAAACAGAAAATGTTAAAAACTATGTTTTTTTAGGGCCGGGTGGCACTGCAGGTTGAGCACAGCATGTGAAGCTGTCCGCAACCTCCATAGCTCCGGTTTGATTCCCGGCCAGCCAGGGAGATTCCCACATGGTGCGGCAGACCTCTCCTGTCTCGCCCGCTACTCCCCTCAGCAGTGTACTTCAGTCCTTCTGCCTGTTCTGCTCCCCGCTCAGTCTCTGGTGAATTCTCTCACCCTCCCACACCTCTGGCCTGTACCCCAGTGCTTGTACAAATAAATAAATCTTTTAAAAAAAAACTATATTTCTTTAAAGTTCGATGGGGGAAAAAGGTAGACTGGGGAAAAGTCTCATGGATATATAGACTTACTAACAATTCCACTTTCTTTTTTTCCAATTTGCAATCTGGTTTTGGAGGTAGAACCTCAGCAATTCTGTGACCATCATGGGAATTCTTAAATTCCAGTTCCCCAGGATGATTTTCAACACTCTGTGGTTGTCCATCACCAATAGGGGGGGTAGGCATAAGAGGACTAAGGGGAGGATTAGGGGAAGAAGAATGTGGGTTTTGATTATTAAATCTCTGTTTTGGTGGAGAAAGCAGTTGCTCTGGAGGTAAGGAGGATGATCCATCTTTAAGTCCAAGTTTTTGGCTTTGCTCTTGCAAGGCTTTTTCTCGCTGAAGTTGTTGTCGACTTTTCTTTACAGGAACACGCCTCTGTGGTTCAAATACATCTATATAAAAGAGAATGGAGAAAATTCCTGTATGACCAGCAAATAATTGTAATTTCTCTAAGAAAATGATGCATTAACATTAAACTTGAAAAATCATTTTGCATGGTTATCCTCGCCTTCTCTATCTTAAAAGCCCAAGGAAAAGGTCATCTTCCTGAAGAGTTTCAACAGTTCTCCTGTCATAGTGTACCAAAAACTGTTCTAGTACTCACTCTATCTTCAAGAAAGTTCATGTGTGTGTGAATTAGGCCTCAGGACACAAAGTAAGGTTTCTTGTTCATTTTCATTTGTTAATTATTAAAAGAACCAATTAATTTGACCTAAGTAGGTACACAACTGAATTTTCTTAATTTCTCTGAAATTCTCTTAAAATTTTATTTATGGCTCTTTCTACTCTCCTGAAATACAATGGTAGTTAAATTTGCAAAAGGGTTTTACTTTTCTTAAATCTTAACAGATTTTGGGGTGATTTGATATACAGGTATACGCTATACAAAATGTAATTGAATGAAATCCCTTATTTCTAGGAACAGTAGTTAACCCTAAATTGTTTTCTTTCATCTTCCAGAATAGTCCAAGATTGTGTTCCCCAAAGTCCAATTAGCCTCTAATCATGTATGCAAGCTAATTTTAATAACGGTCTGAACAAGGCAATAGAGGAAGATAAAATTGGAAGAATTTTTTTTTAAAAAGCATAATAAACTAAATAATAATAGTTCTATTATACTTTCTGGACTAACCATGCCAGTATTGACCTTGTAAGGCAGACAATTAGAGAATTTGACTCAAATTCATACCATACTTATTAAGATCTATAAATGGTATTCTTTACAAAATGTCTGGGAAATGAAATTATGACAAGCCCTTGTAAATGAACTCAAATAGGGCTTTTAAAATCTGCATATTGACCTTTGAAACAACCACCTTATTATTGAAAATTCCCAAAGGAGAGTTAAAAGTTGAGTCCACAGTTCCAATACTTCTTTGTCCATTTCAGTAACTATAGGCAAATCAATTAATTATTCCACACTTATTTATGGTTTCCATACTTATTTATAATTCCATACTTCAGTTTCTTCATCTGTCAAAGTCACTGATATTTCACCTCCTCTACTTAACTCATAGACGTGGTGTGGCGATTAAATGAGACATGTAAAGAAAAGCACATAGAAAAAGGCTCATATAAATACAGTCAACTGACCTTTGACAAAGAAGGAAAGGCAAAGGTAATACAAATAGGTAACACAAACAGTGTTGGAATAGGTAACACAAATAGTGTTGGAATAGGTAATACAAATAGTGTTGGAATAACTAGACACACACATTAAAAAAAAAAAAAAAGAATCCAGACACACCCTTCACAAAAATTAACTGGAAATAGACCACAGACTTAAATGTAAAACTTATGAAACTATAAAACTCCTACAAGATAACAAAGGAGGGCCTCCCTGGTGGTGCAGCGGGTTGAGCGCCACGCTGTGAAGCCATCCGCAGCCTCTGCAGTACGGGTTCGATCCCTGCTGGCTGACGAGAATCCCACATGGCGTGGCAGACCTCTCCTGTCTCACCCGCTGCTCCCCTCAGCAGTGTATTTCAGTCAGTCTGCTTGTTCTGCTCCCTGCTCTGCTCTGGCAAATGCTCTCACCCTCCCGCATCTCTGGCCTGTACCCCAGCTCTTGTAAAAAATTAAATAAATCTTAAAAAAAAAAAAAAGATAACAAAGGAGAAAACCTAGATAACCTTTATGTATAGCAATGTCTTTAGATACAAAACAAGAGGCACAACCCATTTAGTTCATGTCTTCTACTCTACATTAGACAATGTTAAAGGAATGAGAAGCAATTTGAAGGCTTATTCATAATTGCAAAAACTTGGAAGCAACCAAGATGTCCTTCAGTAGTTAAATGGATACATAAACTGTACACAGAGAAAATGGAATATTGCTCAGTGCTAAAATACAATGAGGTATTAAGTCATTAAAAGACATGAACAAAATTTATAAGCATATTACAAAGTAAAAGAAATCAATCTGAAAAGGCTACATACATAGTGAATAACTCCAACTACATGACATTTGGAAAAAGTAAAACTATGGAGTCAGTAAAAAAGATTAGGGGTTGCAGGAATTGAGGGATGAACAGGTGTGGCACAGATGATTTTTCAGGCAGTGAAAATACTATATATGATTCTTTAGTGATAGGTATATGTCATGTAGCCATAGAAAATACACACCATCAAGAAAGAACCCAGAGGTAAATACTGGAGGATTATGATGTATCAGTGTAGGTTCATCAGTTGTAGCCACTCTAGTGGGGGATGCTATTATAGGGAGGTAGCTAAATTATGTGCAGGTGTGGAGGTGTTTATGGAAATCTTTATATTTTCCTCTGAAAGATGCTGTGTACATGCAACTACTTTTAAAAATTAATGTCTTTAGGAAAAAAGCTGGTAAAAAAAAAAATACTGTTTTAATATTTAAATTTGGGCTGAAGTATCAAAGATTCTGTGGTAATCTGGAGAGGGAAAGTCTAGTTTCAAGGGGGCAAACCATAGTCATCTCCAGCTATTAAAAATGGCGCTTTCATTAAAAAATTTAGGTGCTACCAGACATTATGATTTCTCATTATAAAAATCATTTATACAATTACATCTACATTTAAAAATTAGGTAAATATACTGATATTTAAATGTAGGGAATTAAATCAAGAAAATCTAGATTATGTTATGTTGTTGAGGCAATGGATTCTAGATCTTAGTGGTTTCAAACAACAAAAATTTACTTTTCATTAGTGTAATATGCCAACTGAGAGCCAGCAGAGGAGCTTAGCGGATCAGTTTCTCAAGGTCATTTCTCAATGACCTTATTATTAGTGTTGCCAACCCCATGGCAGGGAGAAGAGAAAGCTCAGGAAGGTCATGCTACAGCAATTATTTGCTCTGACATAACACTTCTGCTTATATTTCATGTTGAACTTGCACTTGATCATACCCCAAAACAAAAAGCAGTATCTACTGGCATGAGAAATGAACTAGAAGAATTTGGCAAACACCACTAATAATTATCATCACTATTAATTTAAAAAGAAATTTAAAGATTATAAAGTTTTAAAAATATCAAACACATATTTGGGTTAAATTAAACCAACAAGCTATGAGTTTGTGATCTCTGCTCTATAGCATTTAAGCTCTGCATGCTCCACCCAAGACAGCCAACATCTGAATCATGTGTAGACCATTCCCTTCCTTCACTTTTTATGTGATAGTGCATCTACAAATATTTCTAAAACTTCTATTTTTATTTAGTTTTATGAAAAGGGCATCATGCTACATATGTTTTTATTAAACTTAAGATACTGCCAATATATCCATATTGTTCATGTCATTCATTTTTAAATAAGCCAGTGTATTGATCTTCTAATGGCAGACATTTATGTTGGTTCCAGGTTTTTGCTTCGGAGAATACTGCTATTATTTCTTCTCTTGTATATGCCTAAGAATTTGCCAGAGATATTATCAAAGAACTGTTGTGTCATAAAGTTTAACTTTAAGAGAAATGTCAAATTCATTTCCAAAGTGCATTCCCTCTAGCAATATATAAGAGAAAGTCGTTCACTTTATAAGACTTTCAGATCTTATATAAGACTGTCAGATTTTTATCTTACTGTGCTCTTGATTTGTTCACTGCTGATAAGCATCTTTTCATATTTCCTTTTTTAAAAAACAGCTGTTGACATCTTTTGTTGATTTTTCTTTTGTCTTGCTTGTATTTTTCATGTCAGCAGCAGCAATGAAAAACATAAAGAGAACGTATTTCCATACCAGAAATTATTCAGTACATAGGACCACATCTAACAAAAGGGTGTTCAAAACCTCTACAGAAAAATTCCAAATTTTTATTAAAAGTTATTAAAGAAGATCTAAATAATGTGGTAGTGTAAATGTGAAGTTGCCAAGTGTCCCCAAATTGATTAGAGATGCAATGCAATTCAAATCAAAATTCCAACTGGTTTGAAATTTGGTAAAACTATTAAAATTTTTATATGAGAGGTTCAAGAATAACAAGGAAATTCCCAATAAAAAGAATAAGGAGACTAGACTATTAGATATTAGAATTAATGACTAATAGAATAAAGAATCCAGAAACAGACTCATACATGTATGAAACACTAGTATGAGGTCATTCAAAAAAATGGGGAAAAATGATTACCCACATGATAAACTATAAAGTCTGATCCATACCTCACACCATATAAAAATAAAACATTCTCTGAATTAAAGACTTAAATTTCAACCAACCCTTTACTATTCTTATTATAAACACATTTTCATGTAGTAAAATCTGTTACAGCTTATAACAAAAATGATTTTAAAAAACTCTTAGTTGGGGCCTCCCTGGTGGCGCTAGAGGTTAAGTCTCAGTACTTTGAGGCTATCAGCAGCCATTGCAGCAAGAGCTAGATCCCAGCCAGGGAGCTGACCCACATGGTGTAGCAGACCTCTCCTGTCTCGCCCATTGCTCCCCTCAGCAGGGTATTTCAGTAGATCTGCCTGTTCTGCTCCCCACTCTGTCTCTAGTGAATCCTCTCATCCCCGCACCTCTGGAATACACCCTAACTCTTGTATGCATAAATAAGTAAATCTTTAAAAAGCAAAACTCTTAGTTGAAAAACAAAGATTAAGATATTTTAGAACTTATGGTGTTATAGTAATTATTGATATTTTTGTGTACTAATTTCTAAGGACCTAGAAAGGACTAATTAAAGAGAATGTATTTCTTTTTCTTTCTTTCTTTCTTTTTTTTTAAAGATCCATCCATTTATACACACAAACTGGGATACAGGCCAGAGGTGCAGGGGTGAGAGGATTCACCAGAGACAGAGCAGGAAACAGAACAGGCAGACTGTCTGAAGTACACTGCTGCGGGGAGCAGTGTACAAAGATTTTAAATACTTTGTTCATCAAAACATAAAAGTTAAAAAGAAAAACAAACTGGGAGAAGATATAATCATACAACTGGCAAAGAAATAATATCAATAATAAAGAGCTCCTAGGGATATTTTAACTAGAATTGACAGTATTATAGCTGTACTGTTTTTTTCTAATTTTTTCATAAGATTATCTTATCTCAAATAATACATATGTATATGTACACACACAAACATCCAACCTATAAAAAATAACAATAGAGTTAAATGAAACCTAACTATAATAGACACAACTATTATTCAAAGATAGACACATCATTCATTCCCTCTTTGGCACACACAAAATTATTTTCTTTTTGTCCTCTAAGCCATGTGACTTGCTTTTCTTAAATGAAATACTAGTAGAAGCATCACCTATCATTTACAGGTAGCATTTAAATGTCAATGCTTGAGTCTCAACTCTCTTCTATTGCTAGGGTGAACCTCTATATGACTGGACAAAACATTATGTGTAGTAACTATATGGAGCACAATCCACAAAACATTATGTGTAGTAACTATATGGAGCACAATGGAGCACAAACCTGAAAAGCCATGTTAGATATATAACCAACACCTTTGAATATCAGTATGTATTTTCCCCTCCTTGATCATACTTCGCTTCCCCCCATCACCCTGAGTTTTGTGTCTACATTCCTAAAAGAATATATCTGCCTTGTATGATTTTGACCTTATATAAAAGTATCAGACTGTATATATTCTCCTGCAACTTTTTTTTTCATATATTACATTTATGAAAGTTATATATGCGGCTATAGTCCTTACATTCCCTGGCAACCAACTCCATCGTCATATTTTTAAGGTTGATGGACAGGTGGTAGGAGTCTTCAAAACTAAAGACCCAACCCCTCTTGTTTTATAAATGAGATATCTCCAAAGCAAAAAGACTTTGAGGCAGGGTTGGGTGACCTATATACCAATCACTGGATTTGGCTGTGAGTATACAAAGAGCTAAGATGTTTTCTATGAGGTGACAGGCTAGTGAGCTGGTGTCTATGCTCTAACATTTCATCACAAAATGACAGACTTTGAAATTAAGGTTCTTTCACAAACTGCATAGTTAAGATATATAAATCTTTCTCAAACTGCAGAGATATTTAGAAATACACATCAACATAATGAGAGTATTATTTAAGTTAGACTTCTACATAGTGTCTTCTTTCCTCTGGCAAACTCACCTCTGCTAACACATAATCTCTATGAAATCTTCCCAAATTCCACCCAACTCCTACCAGGAATTGCTGCTAATTCTATAGTAAGCTCTTGAACAACACCCACTACTACACTGTATTGTAGTTTGTTTCCTCTCTGCATTATGAACTCTTTCAAGGCAGAAATGATGTCTTGTTCGTCTTAGACATCCCTAATACAGAAGCTGAAATCTGTAACCAAGTCAGACCAGAAGCTGGGGTACCAGTAACTCCATACCTCTCAATAAGTGAATGGGTGTTGAAAACACCAACCAAAAGAAGCTACAGTCAGTTAATTACATGTATATAACTTCTATAATAGTTTTTAAAGGCCTTTAGACCAGTCAAGATTTCTTCAATATAAATAATCTACACTGGCCCTACATTACTAATTTATTTCCTTTTCCACTTGTCAGTTCCAGATTATCCTCATATCTACAATAAAAATGCACATGTTTATCTGAGCAACAACCAATTTTCTCACAAACTCTAAGTAAAGGCATGGGAAGGCTTACTTTTCTTCCAAAGTAAAGTCTATAAGTTACAGTATCAAGAGTGGTGTAAACTTGCACTCTCAGGATCACCACAGAGCGCTTTATTAATTTTCAGTCACAAACAATATAGTTTGTATCACCGAGAACTTCCCGTCAAACATCAGCAAACTAAATTCCTTCATGAAATATAAGAAAATAATACAAATTCAGTCAATGATTACGCCATAAAACTAGTGGGGAAGGCACAAAATTTTAGCTTAAGGGAAAGTCAGTATATGTATGTGTATTTATGTACATTTGTGTGTGTGTACACACACACATATATATATTTCACATCTAACTTCTCAAAGATCCTTTTAGTTTGCTAAATCTCAGGAATTGGAAAGAACTGCAAAAATCACCTGGCAACCAGAAGTGAATGCAAGACTCTAGATGTACTATGAAAAGCACCAATTTGTTTGCATTTATTCAGATTCCTGTGCTCCCTATACCCCCAATCACTGTCTGCTCCTATAAATTCATCACAACCCCAATACAGTGTGTGCCCCTCCTCCTTCCTAACCCCCAACCTCCAATCACTGATACATGCAGCAAGCCTTTCATATAGGTGACAGCTAGTGTGCAGGCTCACGTCCTCCCCTAAGTCCCATTTCATTCACAGGAAAAAAAGTCAAATTCCTGTAAAATATTTCCTAATCCTCTTTTCTAAAGTAGATCCCAGTCTCCAGAGCCTGTCCCCCGACCTGGACCCAGTACATCCACCTCTGAAGAAGCCCCTTCAACGCTGACCTCCCAGTGAGAGCTCCCTCTTCCCCGCCCCTTTTCACCCCCAAAAGCTGCAGCTCCGCCCCTTCCCTTGAACAGATCCAAGAATCAGACCACTACAAGCACGTCCTGTTACCTTTAGCTTGCTTTAGTCGCCTCAACTCCTCCTCAGAGAAGCCGGCCCAATCTTGCGCCATCCGCCCGAGCTGCCAGCACCCCCAGACAGCCCAAACCTCAGAAGCCCAAGACTGCCAACACGACTACCCAGGCACATCCGGGTTCTACCCGGCAGCGGTCTACCAACCAATCCGCGCGCCGATTTCTGGACTCAAGTCCCTCCCCTTTCCCTTGCTATTGGGTCCGACTTCCTTCGAGGCTGCCCCAGATAGTGCCGGAGAAATTCGAAAGAAAATCATGGTACCACAGCCTTTTATTTCTTCTAATCTGGCTCTGCTGTTTTTCTCTGTCTCCTACTATTTAGATATTCATGACGCCAACAAATAAGGAGGGAGCTAGCCCTGGGAATAAGGGTAAAAATAAACAGGCAGTTAGGAAGTGAGCACGAGTTGGTGGCGGATAGGCGCACGAAAATGCCTCTTGGGGTCTTCAGTAAAGTCACCGTAGCAGAGCCCGCTACCTGGTGGTCCGGGAGGTGTGTGCTCCAGGTGTTTAGGGTTTCCTTGTAAGGCCGCGTTGGAATCTTCCTGCACATTGACGCGACCATATTCGCATTGAGGCTTTATCTCTGAATAACCCTGGAAGAGGAGTGAGGTGTAATTAATAAAAAAGGCACAGGCGTTTAAAGCTGTATCGCCCGCAGACTGTAGCGTCTCCCAGATTTATCTTGATTGCGGATTGTTTCCTTGATGTTTTTTTGGACGATTCTCGCTTATCTGACATGTCTTAGGATGTCTAAGTCTCTTCCTCTTAAAAGGGATCTCAGCTGTACAGAGAAGATAATGTGAAAAAAAAAAAAAACTATGCACTCTTGAGGATGGGAAAACCTATCTTGGATTTTTCCTGCCTGGGTCCTGATTCCCTTGTGTAGTTCTATCGTAAACACTTAAGATCTCTGGGCTTCCATTTTCTCTTTTTAAACAAGATTGTGAAAATTACAATGTGTGAGCATTGCCAAAGTACGTACAGATCCGGGTAACTTAAAACACCAGTTAACTTGTTTTTCATATTGCTCTTCTCACTATTTTGCTGTGTTTTGTTTTTTTGTTTTTTGTTTTTTAAGGTTCATTATTTTGGTTTACATTTAAAAATCCAAAGTGTCATTTTTACTTTGTCAACACTTTTAAATAAATTGAGATAAGGGAGTAGACAGAAAATAAAACATGCAGAGTTGGAATGAATATTTCAGGTTTAGGTGAGTGGTCAGAAAGTGAAGGATGTTTGAAATATCCCCTTGTAAGCTTTGAGTTTTTAAATTTAAAATCGATTTCTTGAAATTTGGGTGTGCACAGACACTTCATCTTAAACGTGAATTCATTTTCTTTAACGTTTAAAAATTACTGTGCTATCCAAAATGATTTGAAGGAGTAGATTTTGGATGCAACTTTTGAACATAGACTAAACACTTAAAGGTAGAGATACAGATTATCTAGCTCTAACATAATTAATGGGGGTCAGTAGCAGTCTAGCAGTGAATTCAGTTCCCATCTACAGTCACCAGCCATCTAGGGCCATCTAAAATATTGAACCACCTTGATGCCCCATGTTGAATTTTATGCAGAAACTCTCTTTAGCTCACTGAGTGAATTTCAAATATTATCTAATCTTAGTAGAGATAGAAATGGTATTTTAAAAGGTTTTTCCATTAGGCTTGAATGAAAACCAAAGTGTGAGCGTATAGTAAAAGATAACATCTATATAAAATTATAACTTCCAGTTTGCAAGGTTCTAAATCTTCTTTTTGTTGTTTCTGTTAGCTTTTCCTTATGGAGACTGGTATCTTCAAATGATGTGTGTTCTGTTATTGGGAGCTTATCTTCAAAGAAGTTTATTGTTCTGTGCAAGTTCTCTGTACCTTGGGTTAAGACTGTCTCTACAGATTGTTTTTCTGGGGTCCTTGAAGTTTCAATTGCTTTTAAACCAGACCGGAGGGCAGCCCTCCTGCCCAACTGTATGTTTGCAGGTACCTCTTTTATTTGTCTTCTAATAAACCTGTCCTTTTAAAATGTAAATAAAATAAAATAAACCAGATTTGAGGTTATATTTTCAAACTAATATAAATTTGGATCCCATTCCATATATGGTAGAGGTCTCAGGTATCAATGTTGTATAGTTGATTTAAAACAATTATTTTTAAATATGATGCAGGTATTAGGTTCCCTTACTATTTTTCCAGAGCAGCAGGCTGAGCTTCCCCGCACCCCACCCCAATCCTGTTAGCATACCACCCTTTTCAGGCTTTGAACTGTATTCAGTGATCTTGTCATCAAATGTATATAGGAATCTAAGCCTTCAGTGCTTATGTTCAGGTAGAGTCCCATTTGAGTCTGGTTTCTACACATTTTGTTTTCTCTTAAGTTAAATGATTTTTTTCTTTTAAATAAAAAGCATAGCAATTTTATGTATTTATGCAAAAGAGGGCATTTTTGAGACAATATTATATTATCTCCAGTTGATTATCCACTACAGCAACTAGAGTAATATATATATTTTTAAAAACTAATAGTCTAATCATGTCCGTAAAATGCTTAAAAGAGTAGAATGATTTCACATCGCATGTTAAATAAAATTGAAAAGTTTCCCAACTCCCACATGAGTCTGTATGATCTGATTTCTGCCTATTTCTCTTATGTGACCAATAGACTCTTTTTCCGTTTATACTACCCATCTTTTTTCCCCATTCCTGTGTTCTTTATTGCTTTTGTACACTAATTATAGCTTCTAAAATATTTGCATTTGCTTATATTTGTTACTTGTTTATATTCTCTAGTAGGTAAAAGTTCAACAAAATCGGGGGATACATCTTTTATTCACTCAATGAAAACAGAATGTTTGACACCTACTGAACATTTAAATAAATATTGAAAGAATAAGACTTTCCAAGTCAAGATGGAGCTGAAACATTCCCATATTTAATGTATTTTGAAATTCTAGTATAAATTTATATGATGATGGATAACATACCCTCCATTTATTACTAATAGTTGCAGATTCATTAGTTAGTAAATAAACAACATCAAAAGCAGGTTGAGAAGAATTAGGATGACATTTTGCTTTATGTAATTCCTTAAAATAGTATTTTAGTTGGAAAAAGAATATAGCATTGATTTAGTCTAACACAAAGAGTAGTTGGATTTGTGTGTGTTTGCATGTATGTGTTACAATATCTTATAAAATTATGAATAGTCTGGACAAAATTGCAAAGCTTTGTGTATCAACAATCAGAGCTTAAACTGGCTTATCAATTGTGGTAAAAATGTATTACCAAGGTCAGCCTTTTAATGTTACTGATTTAATAATCTGTAATATAGTATTTTGTTTTAGATTAAATAATAAGATTCAATTTAAAAAAATGTCAAGCTGCAGAGCAGACAAGATGAAGATTAGACTGAAAATTACTTTATCTGTGGAGCCTACAGGAAATTCCAAAAGATAACATTAATATAAACAAAGCTCTTAAACAATTGAAGTAGAATGGCAAATTGTAGTACTGTAGATTCAAATTTAAAGATGTCAGTTTCTATTTGAGGAAGAAAAAATTGATGCACAATTTCAGATGGTCTTCAGAAGGAATTTCAACTGTGGCAATATTTATAGTGTGATTATTTAAGAGTGGTTATTCAGTCAAGCAGGAACTCATTCTTAAAGGAATCAACACCCTTCCCCAAAGTGTATTTTGAATAAATTTGCATATACTTGGACTCAGTTGGCAGCTCTTATTAAATGGTACCACAAATCAAGCAGAAACTGGAGGTGGGGTGTGGATAGGTGCTAAACTGGGATTTCAGAGCAGGCTCTTCTCAAATCAGACTTATTCATTGTTCTGGGAAGACTTTCCTGTAAGTATCCTTCAGGCATTTAAAATGAACTCTCTGCTCACATGCTATTGCTTTCTGTGCTTGTTCGTTGAGGTCACTACACTTGAGTGTGAAAACCACCCAAGCAGCCTGTGCAGTGTTCACAGGGTCAGGCAAGAGTGAGAGTCTGCCCCCACTTCAGAGTATTTCTGAATGTAAAGGCCCAAAGAGAGGCCTCTTTGCCAAGTATGACTTGGAATTCAAACTTAATGCCAGGCCTCCATACCTTTTTTAGGGTAATTACCACTTAACCAAACATTTCTGGGTTTCTTATAAATTGGTCCCCTCAGTCACTTAATCATTTTAGTAGCTCTTCTCTGAACTTAGGCCAAGTTTTTCACACTTTTGGTAACAAGGTGCTCTGGAGCGCAGTCACCAGGTGTGACAACCTTGCCAGGGCACTGGGTGTGGTGGGAGGGAGCAATAGTGAGATGACAACCACCAGTACCCCTTAGGCTCTCATAAATGTATGGATGGCAGCTTTCCAACAGAGTTGAGCTCACAGTAAATGCAGAGGCATGTAGCCTGGAAATTGCCCCTTCCTTAATGGGGTGGAAGAAAACCATAGCCCTGCAAGTAAGTGGTGTGGTGTTGAAGAACTGTTGCACTTTTGATACCATTATAGGCATACTTGACAATAAGAAATCCTTCTAGTGCAGAGGCTGAGAAATTCTTAATAGGGACATTTCAAGAAAAGACAGCGGCCTAACATAAAAGTTAACATCGCTCTTTCTTTTATAAGAATGTATAGTGTACATGGATAAATAAGATCATTAAAATATCTTTTTTGTTGTTTCTCATTTTTGATACCTGAAAGGAAAGCTAATAAAATCTACAAGTCATCTGAAGTTGAGTGATTTCTTCAGGATCAAGCAAATGAGTAAATGGGAGAGTCAGAATTATAGTCCAGGTAATGTATAACTTTAAGCCTCAGACCTTTCACCTATCTCTAAACAAACAAGCCAACCAAATAAACATATTCCCACCACCAAGCCATCACCCCCATTCTCTTTTTTAACACTGATTCAAGAAGGAAAAAGTTCCTTAATGGCAAGTCTTTGGCCTTTCAATTTAGTTACTGTGTCATTTGTGTACATATTTTTTTTTTTTTCATTTGTGTAGTGATCAGTTCACCTTTCTTATTCTTTTATGCTGAAAAGTGAAACTTTCTTTCATGCTGAAAAAGTGAACTTCCAAACACATCAGCATCTGGCACTAAGATGAGTAATGTCAGTTTGTTGTGGTTTCTGGGCAACCCTAACAAGGATACTGGTGAAAATTGTGAAGGCTTAAGTACAAAAGTCAAAAGTAAATTCATGAAAAATACAATGTGCTCTTATTACTTGATATTTGGACATTTAAACAAACATTTAACAATCTGATCCTTAAGCTAATTGAATATGTGTACAATGGACCACCCTAAGAAATACATTAATAACTTACCTATGCATGGAGATTTCTGTGGCAGTTAATGTTTGAACCATATTTAAAATACATAAATATTGCTGTAAAACAAAACTAGGCAAGGAGAAATATACCAGAAGAAGTATAATATTTAATGACAAATATGTATATTATTATAGCATATTCAGGGTTCTTTTTATAATCTCAAGAGTTTAAGATTTCTACTGAAATGCTATTATTTTCCACAACCCCAGAAGATCACTTGCTATTAAGATTCTCAGTTCATCATTGCTGTGGATTTATCCCTGACCATTGCAGCATGATTGTTTCATTAAGAAACCTATAATCAGGAGAGGATTTGTGGGAAAGGGTAAGGGGTAGAATACTAATAAGGAACCAGAACTATTCTTCCCTTCTTGGGTTCCACAACCCTTTATATCAGCCCTATCCAAATCTGGAGGCTTAGTTCTGCAGATCCTTGAACACAGCTGTACTCTCAGGTAGTCTGGTCTTTGGGGGCTGATATTCCTAAAATAACTTTAAATAGTTAAATCTAACCACGTGTGAAATGGCAGTTGCCTTTTAATTTTAATGGAATATTTTAGAGCATTTTTATAGAAAAGCTCTTAAAGTTCTTTTTTTCACTACCTTAATGAAAGGGGAAAATGTGTTGCTGTTGCTGTTATTTTTTATAATAAATTTAAAGCAGTTCCTGCAAATCTTAACAAGTAGAATCAAATATTTAATGCTTTTGGCAATATGCCTTTATAAAATTTCCAGAACAAAATAAAATATTCTGTATTTAAACTTTTTTTGAATAAAACAAACTGAATTTCTAAGAGTACTTACATCATGCATCAATATTTCCAAGTTAATTTAGTATGTGGACTCAGCAAACCACATCATTACCACGAGTTGCTGTTGTATCTGAAAAGATTTATGCTCAGATGTTTAAACCAAGATAGAAAACTAGATTCACAAATGTGAATATTAGAATTAGAAACATACTTTTTTGTTGTCTTTTTTATATTGTATTTCTTTAAATATTATGAACCAGGTTATTTTTTCATACTTGCTCATGAAATCAGCAGCGTTGTAAGAGTTGATGTGGGCATTGTGACTCTCAGATTTCATGAAGACTGATTCTTTTGGACGAGAGGCAATAATTCACTGGAAGGAAAAAAGGAAGGGAGGAATGGATGAGGGAAGGAGGGAGAAGGGAGGAAAGAAAAAAGGGGGGAAAGCCAATAACCACCTTGATTTGCCAATTTCCATCATGTACATAAGAAATCTGGTGTTAAGAAGAGAATCATCCAATATCCTTTTACAAGTTGAAACCATACTGCTCCAGTGAACACTGAAGTGGGATTCATTTATATTTGTTAAGCATGAATTATGGATGCCATCAGTTATAGAGACCTAAGTTTAATGAAAAATATGGTTTAATTGTGTAAACATGTACTAATACTGTTACCTTGGGCACAGGCTACCTGGAAAAGTTTTCACAGGATTTAGTCACCTTATCAGAGGAAACATTTTGAGCAAATGTTTATTTACCTATTTTAGTAGCTATTAGAAAAGTGGCTTAAGAAAGTGAATGGAAATAGAAACATTTGAAGCAGTCACTTTTGATTTATGTTCCTTGTTATTCATAAAGAATTATTGACTGTTCTGCACTGAATGAGTTTTGAGTTGGATTCCTTAAAACAATCATCAAATGCATGATGGAATGCTAATGGAATTCTGGGAAAGATATTTTCCAGGAAAATATTTTGTTAAAGCTACAATTTTGTTAATTGTAGCTAACATTCATTGTGGTAAGCTCTAAGAGTTTCTCATGTATTATCTTATTGAATTCTCACAGCATATTATCCCTTCCATCTGCTGGTCAGGGAACTGAAGAACACTGAGTTTAAGTAGCTTGTCCAAGTTGCCCCAGCTAGTAATTGGTACTAACCCAGGCAGTCTGGCACAAATCTGGCTCTTAATCAATGCACTTTTATGCCTCAAATATTGGTTTTGTTTTGTTTTGTTTTAAAGAAGGCTATTCATTATTGTAGTTAATCAGTTTGAATATTTTCAAGTTCCTTTTTGAAGTAATTGAATTTACCTGAGATTCTGTCAACATATGTGGATAAGAGAGAGGGTGAGATTGCCTTTGATAATCAGACAGTAGCCGGTTTACAAACCATTTTAAAGTTAAAATAATTCTGGGTCGGATAATGTTTGGGTTACAGTAATAAGATGGAGATTAAATAATAATGTGGCTACACTGTTTATCTCTCTATATAATTTGTACTCTTTATGTCTCTGCCTAGAAGATGTATATATATGTATATATGTATTTGTATGTGTAGATAGCTATCTGTAGATATTAAAAGAAGGAAGTCTAAGCTTAGAAAAAATAAGGGTAGGAAAAATAAAATTGAGACAAGAATGAAGGTAGTACAAAAAAAAATCCATGTTTGAAGTTCTTATAATACTTTTTACAGCTATATCTCAAGTTTGACTTGAACTTCCTCAGGACCAAAGCAGTGCCCATGTTATGCTGATTATTTTCTCTAATTTTACAATAAATATTTTTATTTATACCTTTATCATAACTTACAAATACTAACTTTTCTATAAACATCAAGAATTGATCAGCTGCTACAAATATCCTGTTTCTCCCAGAGCACACAAATCCTTCAGCATGCATTCTTTATAACACCTTACCATCCACTGACACACAGAGATCTTTTGGGCTCCTTTTTACTGATTTGGGTGTATTTGCATCCTCTTCATTATTGTATTTTGGATTTCTGATTTTTGGAGTAATTTAGCAATTGAATTAACTTTAGTCAATTGTCAATTGCTATTTGAACATAATTGTAGGCTTATCTTTGCTTAAAATTTTTCTTTCATTATCCTCTTTGAATTCAGTTATTATTTTGTGATAGTATGTTATGTTGATTTTTCAAAGAGATTATAGGTATCTGACTTAGACTTTGGATGTTATTATTTGCCCCAGTTTTTAAACAATTTAGCCTTCTGTAAATTCTGATTTCCTTTTATTAATTTAAAACGTTATTCCATTATCTTCTGCAGGGGAGAGGTCTGCTTCTGTTTTAATTTTTCTTTTTGTTTGGTTTTACTCTATCTCCTTCATAGTTTATTGCTGGAGTTCACATATTTTAGTAGAATATGTCTAGGTGTTATTCTTTTTTTTTTAAGATTGATTTATTTATACAAGAACTGGGGTACAGGTTAGAGGTGCGGGAGAGTGAGAGAATTCACAAGAGAAAGCGGGGAGCAGAGCAGGCAGATGGACTGAAGACACTGCTGAGGGGAGCAGCGGGCAAGGCAGGAGAGGTCTGCCATGCCTTTTGGGACTGTCCCTGGCCTGCTAGGATTGAACCAGCGCTGCAGAGGCTGCAGACAGCTTCACAGTGCAGCGCTCAACCTGCTGTGCCACCGGGGAGGCTCTCTAGGTGTTATTCTTGCATTGTTATTGATGGTTCTTTTAATATGAAGAGATTTTCTTTATCGGGGAAATTTTGTTGTTGATATTCTTTATTGTTTTTATCATTTACTTGATTTTTCCTTCTATTTTTAAGTTTTCTTTCTTGAACTTCTACTGGCAGAACTTTATTTTTTTTTAAGATTTATTTATTTATTTATTTATTCATTCATTCATTCATTCATTCATTCATTCATTCATTTATTTATACAAGCACTGGGTACAGTCAGAAGCATGGGAGGGTGAGAGAATTCACCAGAGCCAGAGCGGGGAGCAGAGCAGGCAGAAGGACCCAAGTACACTGCTGAGGGGAGCAGCGGACGGCAGGAGAGGTCTGCGCGCCATGCGGGACCCGCCTCTGATGGCCAGGGAGCAGCCGGGGATCGAACTGGCGCCGCAGAGTCTGTGGGCAGCTTTGCAACCCAGCGCTCAACCGCTGCGCCAACGGGGAGGCCCCTGGCAGAACTTTTAGATCTATTCCATAGATTTTTCTTTTCTCACATCCTTTTAACCTTTTTTTAAAAAATGAATTCTGATACAGTCTTTCAGTTTACCTTCCTTACAGTCTTCAGTTTACTAATTTAATCTTCAGTCTCATTCATTCTGAAGTTAAGCCCATATTTCAATAATTTCCAGAAAGTTCTGCTTCTTTTTCAGAGCACCCTGGTTGGGTTATTGTTATTATTTTTTTTAGTTTACACTTTTTCCTTTTGCTATTGTCTACAATTTTTTTTTTTAAAGATTTATTTATTTATTTATACAAGCGCTGGGTACAGTCAGAAGCACGGGAGGGTGAGAGAATTCACCAGAGCCAGAGCAGGGAGAAGAACAGGCAGAATGACCGAAATACACTGCTGAGGGGAGCAGCGGGCAGCAGGAGAGGTCTGCGCGCCATGAAGGATCCCTCACCCTGCGATGGAAGTGGCACAGCAGAGGCTGCAGGCAGCTTCGCAGCCCAGCGCTCAACCTCTACACCACCGGGGAAGCACCACTATTGTCTATAATTACTAATTGTAGTTATACTATTCTTGTTTTCCTATAATTTTCTTCCCTTAGGAATTAGTCCTTTTGTGGAATCTGGTGTTTTTAAAGAATTTGGTTGGACTTCTCATATTTGGTATTTGGTTGCCTGTACATATTTGTAGATGAAGGTCTGCATCAGAGGTTTAGCTTGAGGGCCAGAGAGCCCTGAGGTGTACCTAGGTAGAATTCAGGGTGTCCATTCATTTAGA